CAAGGTTTAATTTATAAATTAGGTGCAGTAAGAGATTAGCAATAACTAACAATAAAATAGAACAATTATTCTGTAATAAAAGTTATGTAAATGTGGTCTCTCTTTCTCTATCAAAATATCTTCCTGTTCTATCCTCACATGACACAATACGGATGTGATGAGATGAAGTGAGATGGATGATGTAGTGTTAAGCTGTGATGTAGCTTTAGCTACTATTGACCTTCTGTATTCCTGCATCTGTGTAACCATCCCTTGCAGTGAATGACTTGGAGTCACTTTTCAGGGGATCTTTTGCTGACGTCTTCTAGTAGGCTCAGTGCTTTCTGGCACCACAATCAGGACACATTTCTGTCCATGTCTTCATAAATGTATAATGGCTTTTCCTTCTTTTTTTTTTTTTTTGAGATGGAGTCTTGCTCTGTCGCCCAGGCTAGAGTGCAGTGGTGCAATCTCAGTTCACTGCAAGCTCCACCTCCCGGGTTCACGCCATTCTCCTGCCTCAGCCTCCCGAGTAGCTGGGACTACAGGGGCCCGCCACCATGCCTGGCTAATTTTTTTGTATTTTTAGTAGAGGTGGGGTTTCACCGTGTTAGCCAGGATGGTCTTGATCTCCTGACCTGGTGATCCACCTGCCTTGGCCTCCCAAAGTGCTGGGATTACAGGTGTGAGCCACTGCGCCCGGCCTCCTTTTCCTTCTTTTATTTTTATTTTATTTTATTTTATTTTTTGAGACGGAGTCTCACTCTGTCGCCCAGGCTGGAGTGCAGTGGCCGGATCTCAGCTCACTGCAAGCTCCGCCTCCCGGGTTCACGCCATTCTCCTGCCTCAACCTCCCGAGTAGCTGGGACTACAGGCGCCCGCCACCTCGCCCGGCTAGTTTTTTGTATTTTTTAGTAGAGACGGGGTTTCACTGTGTTAGCCAGGATGGTCTCTCCTTTTCCTTCTTAACTAAGCACTGGTCACACACCGTGGCTACAACTTTTGCAGTTTGAGGTGTGGCAGCAAAATGAATATGAATTTCTTTTTCCTTCTTCAAAATTTCATGGATAGATTCATGATCTTAGGATCTTCAACATACAGCCGATCTTTTTCTTTCTGAAGCCGAGAACTTTCACCTTTTCCCTTAAAGGAAGCATTGTTTGGCCTCTCTTTGGCAGATCTAAATTGTGGCACGGGTACTCTTGTGCTTTGGGGCCCTTTATGAAGTAAAATAAGGGTTGTATTCCTTGAACACTAGCGCTGCGATGCTGAGACAGTCCTTCTGATAACTGAGATGGCCCCTATGTGACTCGCAGGTGGGTCGCATGTACATTGTGGCTCTGCTGGACACAGGAATGATTTGTGTCTTGAGTTGGCGAAATCTCATCACTCTCCTCAGAATAGCGTGCAATGTAAAACTTATGAATGGTTTGTTTATGGAATTTTCCATTTAATATTTTTGGACCAAAGTCAACCCCAGGTAACTGAAACCTCAGAAAGTGAAACTTTAGATAAGGGAGGGACTACTGTATGTTAGAGACTCGTGTTCAGAATATATAAAAAACTCACAGCTGGCACAGTGGTGCATACCGGTGATCCCAGCTACTTAGAAAGCTGAGGCAGGATTGCTTAAGTCCGGGAGTTTGAGGCTGTAGTGTGCCCTGACTATGCCTGGGAACAGGCACTACACTCCACCCTGGACAACATAGTGAGACCCAGTCTCTTAAAAAAACCACAACTTATTTTCTAAAAAAGAACTCTCACAACTCAATAATAAAAATACAAGTAACTCAATTAAAAAATGGGCAAGGGGCTAGGCACGGTGGCTCATGCCTGTAATCTTAGCACTTTGGGAGGCCAAGGTGGGTGGATTTCCTGAGTTCAGGAGTTCAAGAACAGCCTGGGCAACACGGTGAAACCCTGTCTCTACTAAAATACAAAAAATTAGCTGGATGTGGTGGCGGGCACCTGTAGTCCCAGCTACTCGGGAGGCTTAGGCAGGAGAATTGCTTGAACCCGGGAGGCAGAGGTTGCAGTGAGCTGAGATTGTACCACTGCACTCCAGCCTGGGAAACAGAGTGAGACTCCGTCTCAAAAAAAAAAAAAAAAAAAAAGGGGGGGGGCAAGGGATTTGAATAGACATTCTCCCAAGAGATGTACAAATGGCCAATGAGCCCATGGAAAAGATGTTCAACTTCACTAGCTGTCAGGGAAATCCAAATAAAATCACAATGAGAAACACTTCGTGCCCACTAAGATGGAAAAAATAAAGATAGACAATAGCAAATATTGGCAAAGCAATGGAGAAATTGGAATCCTTATACATTGCTAGTGGGATTGTAAAATGGTGAGGACACTTTGGAAAACAGATCGGCAGTTCTTCAAAATGTTAAACATAGAATTATCATGTGACCTCATTATTTCTACTCCTAGAGAATTGAAACATATCTACACAAAAACTTGTACAGCAATGCTCGTAGCAGCATAATATTATTCATAATAGCTAAGCTTTAGAAACAACCCCAATGTCCATCAACTGATGAATGTGTAAACAAAATGTGGTATATTCATACAGTAGAGTATTTATTCAGCCATAAAAAGGAATGAAGTAGTTATATATACTATAATATATGTGAACCTTGAAACCGGTATGCTAAGTGAAAAAAGCCAGGCCCGGTGCAGTGGCTCAGGCCTGGGAGGCTGAGGTGGGCGGATCACCTGAGGTCAAGAGTTAGAGACCAGCCTGGCCAACATGGCAAAACTCCGTCTCTACTAAAAATACAAAAATTAGCCAGGCGTGGTGGAGTGCACCTTTAATCCTAGCTACTCGGGAGGCTGAGGCAGGAGAATCGCTTGAACCTGGGAGGTGGAGGTTGCAGTGAGCCAAGATCGCCCCACTGAACTCCAGCCTGGGTGACAAGAGCGAAACTCCGACTCAAAAACAAAAACAAACAAACAAACCAAAAGACAAAACAAAACAAAACAAAAAACAAAAAAGAAAAGAAAAAAGCCAGTCACAAAAGGCCACATATTATATGACTCCGTTTATATGAAATGTCCAGAATAAGCAAATCTATAGAGACAGAAAATAGATTAGTGGTTGCCAGGGGCTTGGGGGTGGAAGAAAGGGAATGAGTGACAAAGGGCATGGGGTTTCTTTCTTCTTTCTTTTTTTTATTTTTGAGACGGAGTCTCACTCTTGTCGCCCAGGCTGGAGGGCAGTGGCTGGATAGCTGCTCACTGCAAGCTCCGCCTCCCAGGTTCACGCCATTCTCCTGCCTCAGCCTCCCGAGTAGCTGGGACTACAGGTGCGCGCCAGGACGCCTGGCTAATTTTTTGTGTATTTTTAGTAGAGACAGGATTTTACTGTGTTAGCCAAGCTGGTCTCGATCTCCTGACCTTGTGATCCACCCACCTCAGCCTCCCATAGTGCTGGGATTACAGGCGTGAGCCACCGCGCCCAGCCTCTTCTTCCTTTTTCTTTTTCTTTTTGCAATTTTTATTTAGTTTTTATTTCATAATCATAAACTTAACTCTGCAATCCAGCTACGCATGCAAGAGAATAAGGCAAACATGGAACCCAACGGGAACTGAGAGAGAGAGCACAAAGATTAGAGGCTACTGTGAGCAACTGAGGTGGAGGGTGCTCTCTGGAGCTACAAAAGGAATGATCCGGTGGTGAAGATAAAACACAAGTCAAACTTACTAGAGTTGTCCACAGTCGGCAATGGTGATCTTCTTGCCGGTCTTGCCATTCCTGGACCCAAAGCGCTCCATGGGCTCTGCAATATTCATGCCTTCTTTCACCTTGCCAAGGACCACATGCTTGCCATCCAACCACTCAGTCTTGGCAGTGCAGTTGCAAAACTGGGAACCATTTGTGTTGGGTCCAGCACGTGCCATGGACACGATGCCAGGACCTGTCTGCTTCAGGATGAAGTTCTTATCATCAAATTTCTCCCCGTAGATGGACTTGCCACCAGTGCCATTACAGTGTGTGAAGTCACCACCCTGACACATAAACCCTGGAATAATTCTGTGAAAGCCGAAACCCTTATAACCGAATCCTTTCTCTCCAGTGCTCAGAGCAGGGAAGTTTTCTACTGTCTTTGGAAACTTGTCTGCAAACAGCTCGAGGGAGACGTGGCCCAAGGGCTCCCTGTTGATGGCGATGTCAAAGAACACGGTGGGGTTGACCATGGCTGGGCATATATATACTATAATATATGTGACATGGCATGACGGGGCTCCCGGCAGCATCGGAATCTGTGGTACGGGGTTTCTTTTAGGGGTAGTGAAATGTTCTGACATTAGTAGTGATGGTTGTACAACGCTGAATATTCTAAAAGCCACTCAATTGTATGCTTTAAAAGGGGGGATTTTATGGTATATGAATTATATCTTGATAAAGCTGTGGTTTAAAAAAATATTTCTGGCCGGGTGCGGTGGCTCACACCTGTAATCCCAGCACTTTGGGAGGCCGAGGTAGGCGGATCACGAGGTCAGGAGATCGAGATGTTTCGCTCTTATTGCCCAGGCTAGAGTGCAATGGCGTGATCTCGGCTCCCCGCAACCTCCACCTCCCAGGTTTCAAGTGATTCTCCTGCCTCAGCCTCCTGAGTAGCTGGAATTACAGGCATGAATGAATCACCACACCTGGCTAATTTTGTATTTTTAGTAGAGACAGGGTTTCTCCGTATTGGTCAGGCTGGTCTTGAACTCCTGACCTCAGGTGATCCACCCGCCTCGGCCTCCCAAAGTGCTGGGATTACAGGCCTGAGCCACCGCCGCAGGCTAGGCTTATTGTTTCTCACTGTGCTTTCTAGAGAAACAATGAGTCTTTTCTCTTCAACACGGCCACTGTCCAAGATGAGAGGTAGCAACCATGTCTTTGTTATTTATTTATTTATTTATCATTTTTATTTTTTTGAGACGGAGTCTCGCTCTGTCGCCCAGGCTGGAGTGCAGTGGCATGATCGTGATCTCGGCTCACTGCAAGTTCTGCCTTCCAGGTTCACCCCATTCTCCTGCCTCAGCCTCCCGAGTAGCTGGGACTACAGGCACCCGCCACCATGCCCAGGTAATTTTTTGTATTTTTAGTAGAGACGAGGTTTCACCGTGTTAGCCAGGATGGTCTTGATCTCCTGACCTCATGATCCGCCTGCCTCGGCCTCCCAAAGTGCTGGGATGACAGGCGTGAGCCACTGCACCCGGCTGCAACCATGTCTAAGCATGTCTCCTTTTCTCCAGGAGAAACACAGGGCCTTCAATGATTCCCCGGGAGAGGAGTTCTCTGTAACCTGATGCTCTGTCATCCTCTCGTGAATGGACTGCAGATTGTCCACATCTCTCCTAAACTATGCTGCCCGTATTTAAGTAAAGCTGGCCTAAGAAGCTCAGAGGGAGCCCTGGTTCACTTAATGCAATTCCTTCCCTTGGTGCAGCTGAAGAGGGCTGAGGTTGTTCCGGCAGCCTCCTCACCTGCTGCGGCTCATATAGAAACTGAGAGTCAGTGCAAACCCTCAGATGTTTTCCTGGATCTTTTCCATATGAAAAACGGCCAGTTTGTTGATGTACATCTGACTTCTCCCTTTTAAATGCTGACTGTCAAGTTCAATCTTAATTTCTTTTGACTCGCTCAGCAATCCCATCTTAACTTTCACATCTCATTTTAGCTCTTTCCCCCCAGTTTTCGGTTAAGCACAAACTTACCAATCAAGACATTGTGCTTTTTTTTTTTTGAGATGGAGTCTAGCTTTGTTGCCAGGCTGGAGTGCAGTGGTTCAATCTCAGCTCATTGCAACCTCCACCTCCCAGGTTCAAGCGATTCTCGTGCCTCAGCCTCCCAAGTAGCTGAGATTACAGGTGTGTGCCACCATGCCTGGCTAATTTTTGTATTTTTAGTAGAGATGAGGTTTCACCATGTTGGTCAGGCTGGTCTTGAACTCCTGACCTCCAGTGATCTGCCCGCCTCGGCCTCCCAAAATGCTGGGATTACAGGTGTGAGCCACTGCGCCCGGCCATTAGGTGTATTTCACCACAGTAAAAAACGATAAATTACAAAAAATGGTGACGTGCCAGGGACAATGCCGTGTGCAGCTCGTTGTCTGGCCCTGTCTCCAGGGTGCCCTGCTCTAGGACGTCAGGCCCGGAATCCCAGGAAGCAGGGGAGGAGAGGGAGGTACCTCTTCATTCCAGGCCCAGGATACAGCCCAGCTCTGCCGTGGTTGCGCACAGTGACGATCTATCTCTGCCTCTCAGGCCAGGAACATGTGAGTAAGCTTTGACTCATATCTGTCTTTTCTCCAATTGCCTAATCTTGCCTGGTCTTAATTAAAAATGTCTCCTTCCCTTTCTTACACTCACTCATTCCTCCACAGGTTTTCAACGAGACCCACAAAGCGCAGTCACTGACCCTGTGCCCAGACACCTTGGTGAGCAGGGACAGCCTGGTCGCACTGTTAAAGGAAAGGGGTCCCGATCCAGACCCCAAGAGAGGGTTCTTGGATCTTGCTCAAGAAAGAATTCAGGGCGAGTCTGCAGTGCAAAGCAAAAGCAAGTTTATTAAGAAAGTCAAGTGGTGAAAGAACAGCTACTCCCTGGACAGAGCAGGGCGTTCCCAAAAGTAAGAGGAGGAATGCGTCCACCCTAAGTACAATGCTTGTATATATATAGGATAAAAAAAGATCATAGGGAGATGTGCTCTGCTACAGGGGTTTGTCATAAAGGATTCCTTTTTTAAATTACCACATTTTGCAAGAATCAATGTTATTATCTTTGAAGAAAAATTAGGAATGCCTTTGTTCTCAAGATATCGGGATATCTGGACACTCCCAAGTTTGGGTTTGTTTAGTAAACATTATTAATTCACTTCCTTAACTGTAAACATCTAGAGGTTGGGAATACCTTTCTGGGAATGCAGCCCAGATTCTGGGAATGCAAGTCCCTACTGCATTTTCCTAGCCCTCACTCAAGATGGAGTCGCTCTGGTTCAAACACCTCTGACACCCCCTCTACAAGCTCCCGGGATGTTTAAACAAGCCATTCCCAGAGAGGCGATGCAGAGGTGCAGGGCAGGCCCTGAGCCCTGGCCACAGGCGATGCTTAAGCTGAGCGCTGAAAGGAGGGGTAGGAGTTCAGCAGGCGAGTTGTTAGAAGACTTGCATTTCAAGCAGAAGATCTGGAAAGACGCGCTGACCGATCAGCGAAAGGCCGTGAGCTGTGGGTGGTGCGGAGACTGTGGAAGCTGAGGACATGGAGCTAAGGCGGGCTCAGACTTCCTCCTGAGGGCAACAGTTTTTAGCTGGGGAGGAACATGACCAAATCTGCCTTTCCCAGTGACCTCTCTGATCTCTTTGATGCAGTGTAGATCCGTGCTTAGCAAACTCAGAAGGCCCTGTCACCAGCAGGAAGGAAGAGACCCCACGACTGAGGGCAGTGGTAGGTTTAGGGGCCGGCCACAGGTGGGACCGAAAGGGGTAGCTAGGGATGGGCTGTAGGGGTGAGAGGGGAGGAGGAATGGAGGGTTGATGATGCCTTCTATCAGGAGGGGAACATGCTAGAAGCAGTTTTGGGGGGAGGTGGGAAGGGTGGGTAAGCAGATGAAGGATTGGGTCTTGGAGATGCTGCTAGTTTGGCTTTGACGGTGCAGGTCCTCTGCTATGAGGTGAGTGGCTGTGCCCGCCAGCTCCTCTTCTCACTCCCTTCTAGGGCTATGAGATTTGTGACCCTTTCCTCTGCCTGCCTCTGCCCCTGCCCCTTGGGACCCTGCTGGACCAGGCATCCATCCTATGGAACTTTCCATGAAGCGTTGACCTCCCTGCCCCTGAGGCATTGGGTGAGTGGCAGGTGAGAGCTGCTCACAGGGCATTAAAGGGGTTCAAAATAGCACCCAAGGCCGGGCATGGTAGTTTACACCTGTAATCCCAGTACTTTGGGAGGCTGAGGCGGGCAGATCACCTAAGGTCAGGAGCTCGAGAGCAGCCTGGCCAACATGGAAAAACCCCTTTTCTACTAAAAATACAAAAAATCTCCGGGCATGGTGGTGTAGGCACCTGTAATCCCAGCTACTTGGGAGGCTGAGGCAGGAGAATCGCTTGAACCCGGGAGGCAGAAGTTACAGTGAGCAAGATCGCACTATTGCACTCCAGCCTGGGCAAAAAGAGCGAGACTCCATCTCAAAAAAAAAAAAAAAAAAAAAAAATTGCACCTAAGCCCAAGCCCAGAAGGTGGCCCTGAAACTGGGCCTTCCTTTGAAGCTAGGCCTGGTATTTGCCACGATTATGCCTCCTTCCCCACGTCACCAACGTTGACTGCCCTCCATTACCCGGTGCTGCCTGGGCGCTGCGTGTGTGCTGGCGTGTGAAATGGCAACGTGAGGCCGTGTCTACTGAGCCAGGCATCTTAGTGCTTTACACAGAGAAATGAAACCTCCTAGCTACGCTGTGAGTTAGGGACCATTGATTCCCATTTTTCAGATAAGGAAACAACCAAGGCACGGAGTGGTTGGTAGGTGGACTAAGGTCACCCAACAGCTGGAGGCAAAAGGAGACACGTGTCTCCACCAGGAGCCACCAGCTGTCCCCTCCTTCTCCATCCCACAGATTGAGTGAAGGCTTGGGCTACTCCGGCTGGACAGTATCAAGTGTTATATTCTGTAGAGCCAGGATGTTCCTCCAATCCTTTAATCCCAAATATTTTGTTTTGTTTTGTTTTGTTTTGTTTTGCGGCAGAGTCTTGCTCTGTCATCCAGGCTGGAGTACAGTGGTGCAATCTCAGCTCACTGCAACCTCTGCCTCCCGGGTTCAAGTGATTCTCCTGCCTCAGCCTCCTGAGTAGCTGGGACTACAGATGTGCGCCACCACACCCAGCTAATTTTTGTATTTTTTGTTGAGACGGGGTTTTACCATATTGGCCAGGCTGGTCATGAACTCCTGACCTCGAGTGATCTGCCCGCCTCAGCCTCCCAAAGGGCTGGGATTACAGGCATGAGCCACCACACCTGGCCTAATCCCAAATTTTAAACCTGCTTCTTGTTCTGCCTCTAGTGAAATCAAAGATCCCTCTGCTGCTGTCCCTATGGGAATGTGGACAGGGATGACACTTCTCGCCAGCTCTGGGTGGCCCCTCTGGTCCTGCCCTTCACTGTCCAGCTCCTCAAGTCCTCCTCAATTCCCCTCTTCTCCAGCCCTACTGCCACTGTCCCCACCTGAGTACAGACCTTCATAATTTCCCACTGGCCCCCCCCCTCTGGTCCCCCCAGTCCCTCTCCTAGTCCATTTATTTATTTATTTATTTAATTTTATTTTGAGATGGAGTTTCACTCTTGTTGCCCAGGCTGGGGTGCAATGGTGCGATCTCAGCTCACTGCAACCTCCGACTCCCAGGTTCAAGTGATTTTCCTGTCTCAGCCTCCCGAGTAGCTGGGATTACAGGCATGCACCACCACACCCAGCTAATTTTGTATTTTTAGTGGAGATGGGGTTTCTCCATGTTGGTCAGGCTGGTGTTGAACTCCCAACCTCAGGTGACCCGCCCGCCTCAGCCTCCCAAAGTGCTGGGATTATAGGCGTGAGCCACTGCACCCGGCCCCTAGTCCATTTTTATACACAGCTCTGAGGATGCTCCAATCTGACGACAGCATCTGCTCACTTAGCGCCCTGCCCCGGCGTCTCATCGCCTTGGGGATAAAATCCACACTCTGAGAGTCAGTGCAAAGTTCTTGGCGTGGCCGCTGCCCTCTCCATTTCCCCAGGCCTTGCTCTACCGCACAAGTCCCTCTCTCAGTGCCTCCCGAAGGCCAGCTCCCTGGCAGGGCTGATGGTGATAAAGTGTTCAGTAGTCAGCAATAAAGAGGGAAAAACAGCAATACTGATTCATAGATACGAAATCAACCAGATGTATCAGCCAAGTTGCCAGCACTCCTTTCTTGGTCACAGTATCTTTTATTCCAAACGTCCTTTCTATTTATTTTTTGTAGTTGAGATATTATTCCTTCTTTTGTAAAATGGTGGTGAGAACAAAGGACTATTTTTTTAAATGTCCTTACTTGGCAAACTAAAAAATGTTTGCAGCTCTAGTAAGACTCCATTTTCATCTTGACAACTCAGTGGTGTGCGGGGGCTGGCCCACAGGCGGCCACACAGATGTGGCTCCCTGGGCCGTTTACTCTTCTGCCAGAAATGCGCCCCCGACCCATGGCTTGCTCATTCCCCACCATCCTTCAATGCAGGTCTTCCCTGACGTTTTTTTTTTAAGAGGGAGTTTCGCTCTTTTTGCCCAAGCTGGAGTGCAGTAGTGCAACCTCAGCTCACTGCAACCTCTGCCTCCTGGGTTCAAGCAATTCTCATGCCAGTGTCCGGAGTAGCTGGGATTACAGACACGTGCCACCATGCCTGGCTAATTTTTTGTATTTTTAGTAGAGACAAGGGTTCACCATGTTGGCCAGGCTGGCCTCGAACTTCTGACCTCAGGTGATCTACCTGCCTCCGCCTCCCACACTGCTGGGATTACAGGTGTGAGCCACCATGTCCGGCCTTCCCTGACCTTTCTTCCCCCAAAGCCCATCCTTGCATGAGTGCATCATCCAGAACTCAGCACTGCGTCCATTTGCACATCTGCCTCCCCGTGGACCTCGGCTGGTGGAAACCAGGCCCCCTCACATTTCCTTTTCCAGAGCCCAGCCCAGCCCTGCCCTGACTGCCCATACACAGAGCAGGTTTGCAAAATGCCTGACAGAGAATGAATGACTCCAGCTTCCTTCTCAGCAGCAGGTGGAGGTGGGGGGTTGGGGCACCCAGCCCTCTGCTGGCTTCACCTGTCCGTGCCCGTGCAGTTGAACTGGGCTCTCCAGGACTGCCTGCCTGCTGGGCCTCAGCACCACCAAGGGCTTCAAGGGCCCCAGCTGGGTGCCATGGACCCCTCTCCAATTCCACTAGGAGATCAGGGGCTGGGGTGCCTCATCTGGCCCTAAAGCCCCATGGCACTGACCTGGTGCCTGTGTGATTCTTCCTCACTGTTCCCAGACAGGGGCCAGGAAATGGAATGAAAGCAGCCAGTCTCTGAAGAGCTGGAGACCATCATCTGCCTCGGGAAGCCCAGGGAACCTCGGCTCAGACAGGACAGAGACTGTGGGAAGGGAGGAGACTGTGACAGAGAAGCAGAGGAGGGTGACAGAGTCAGGGAAGAACAAAACAGCCTGCAGTGGGAGCAGAGACAAAAATGTGGGGGACCCACAGGGAGGGGAGGGAGGGAGGGAGGGGAGGGGAGGGAAGTAGGGAGGGGGAGGGGAGGAGGGGAGGGAGGGACAGCTGCCGTCCAAGTGGCCATGGGAGCCTGGGGCTGGGAGAGGCACCCTCCTCCTGTTGGCTTCTCATACAGTCTCTATCAGGGGACCCAGGACACAAGAAGCGAATTCATCTTTGGGTCCACTCTTCAGCTCTAGAAGTCTAGGGCCTGGCTAGGTCCTCTGAAGGAGTCTCTGGCCCCAGGCAGCTTCCTGCCCCCCTGTGTGGCCCCCCAAGTCCTTCTCAAGAGCCCTTCAGTAAATAAATTTACTGGAGAACATCAATGATTGGTCATATGAGGTGTTCCTAGGGGAGAAAATGACATTTAGTTTTTAGCTCACTTGGAGCCATTTGTTTTAAAAAGCACCTCTTGGCCGGGTGCGGTCGCTCACGCCTGTAATCCCAACACTTTGGGAGGCCAAGGAGGGTGGATCACCTGAGGTCAGGAGTTCAAGACCAGCCTGGGCAACATGGTGAAACGCTGTCTCTACTAAAAATACAAAAATTAGCTGGGCATGGTGGCATGTGCCTGTAATCCCAGCTGCTTGGGAGGCTGAGGTGAGAGAATTGCTTGAACCCAGGAGGCGGAGGCTGCAGTGAGCCGAGATCACACCGCTGCACTCCTGCCTGGGTGACACAGTGAGACTAGGTCTCAAAAAAAAAAAAAAAAAAAAAAAAAAAAAAGGAAGCACCTCTTGAGAGAGCTTTTCCTGCAGATGTCACAGGCAAAATGTCTCACGTTGTGGGGAATGTGGCAGTGGACTTCTGGGACCAAGCCGAGGCCCCCACATGCCATCCCCCTTGGGAGCAGGGTGGCTGGGTTGACAGATGTGCAGAGGAGGAGAGAAGTGGGGCAATGCCTTTTCTCTAATGGTTAGCTGGCGGGAAAGACTCCAGGGGCTTCTGAGGAGAGACCCTAAGAGGAGTCTGGATGGGCCTCGGCTGGGGGAGGCTGGTGCCTACCTGGCACATGGGCACTGTGGGGGTGCAATGGGGCACAGCGTGGGAGGTGTCATGGGGGGTCTTTACACTGGGTACTAAAGAGCTTAGGAGCCTGAGCTACCTGGTGTGGGGCAATCACATTTACTACTGTGTCCAGGCAAGGAGGAGCAGCTGGGCTTGGACCTCACAGTGACATGAAGTGGCCAGGACTGGGCACTGGGCTAACGTGAGCCCCAGGGGTGCTTGGATTTATCAGCTGAAGAAGGGCCTATGGAAGGGGAGAAAACAATTCTCTAGACAGATGAGAACACCCGGTCACATCCACCTGGACCTGACATCACACCCCAGGCTGTGCAGGAGCACTCACAGAACTAGAGTGTGGAATGACTTATTAGAGCCTCTTCCAACAGCTGTGGGCCCTGGAACCTAAGAACCCACCTTTGGAGAACATTTTTGGGTCTGAGAGCTTTGAGGCCAGGCCTTGAGACAAACCCACCCAGAAGCCCTGAGCTACTTTTGCTGTAAGAGTAGGAGGGCCCTGCCCCTGCTCCAGGAGCCGTCCCTGGATCCCTGGAAGAGCAGGAAACACTGACTGATCCATAGGGGCGATGAGGCTAGAGGCTGAGATCAGCCGGAACCAGGGGGCCAGCTGAGCATGTGATTCCTCTGGCTCCAGGCCACCTCTAAGGGTCTCCCAGTGGCTGAGAGGGATTAGAGGACTGTGGCTTCTTGGGTGAGGGAGCCTCTGGGTTACAGCCACCGTGCCCTTTGAATCTAATCTGCTCTCGACAAGGATCAGCTGACCTGATAGGTGTGCACAGCAGGAGGCAACAGCCAGGGCCAGGAGAAGCATAAAAGATGGAGTAGAGGAGGGAGCAGAGCAGGGTCAGGTGAGACCTCTCACTCAGGACAGTTGTGCAGCTGACTTGCTGAGACCTTGGAGTGAGTCGCCGAGGTCAGTGTGCCCAGTTGGGGCATCTTCCAGGCTGTGGCTCTGTCACCTGCAGTTTTGGCTCAGAGCAGCCACCACATCCTCACTGCTGTCCTGGGATGAGAAGTGGGGTGGAGAACCAGGGGCTGGGTGTGCAGCCAGAGCTGGAGCAGCTTCAGGAGCCAGGTGAAACCTAAGAGCCTCACAGGCTTTGAACAAAGTGCAGGAGTCCCAGCCCTGCCGTTTATGGCGGGTTCCTGGAGGTGATCAGTCATTATCAGCAGTGTGTTCACTCTGCCGATACCACCCAAGGCCATGATCATCCCTCACCCCAGGCCTTGCACACTTGCTTCCTTGTCCTAGACAGCCGGGGCTGTTCCTGCTCTTCGCTGCCCCTGGCACTCACAGAGCAGCTGACTGACTGACCTACCAACTTAGGGAGAAAAGTGAGGAGGTGGGGACTGAGGACACGCTGGGGACACAGCCTCTTTGTGATTTCCTTCCTGGAGGGGAGAGGTGGCCAGGGCAATGCAATGCTGGGGCTGCAGGGCAAACCTTCAGGGCTGGACGAGGGGAGCTCAGCCTGATGTCCAGGTTTGCTGGCATGTGAGGGACGTGGTCAGGCACAGCTACAGCTGTGGGTCTATGGACGGTTCTTGGATCCCAGGATTCGCTGGTGTCGTCCCTGATACACACCTCACGTCTTCAAACTCTGCCCTCTCTGATGGCCTGCTGGCACTCCTCCTGCCTATCTCTGCACACTCAGCAACTTTCCTCTTTGATGGGGACAGGAGTGGGGGAGGGCAGGGCAGGATGGAGACACCATGCACATTCCTGCTTAGCACCTTTGCCCTCCCTCTTCCATCCATGGGAGTCACCTCCCCTAGACCTTCATGTGGCCTGCAACCCCACTTCTCCCTCCCAGAACCTTCCTAGTGCCCCCAAGAAGCGCCTGCCCTTGCCTGACGCCCCGTCCCCTTCTGCTTTTTCCTCATGCTGCTTGTTAGGTTGAAACATAACACCTGTGTTTCAAAACACATGCAGTCAAGTTTCTGTGCATGTGTGTGTGTAGATATATACATACACACATATGTATATGTGTGTATATATGTCATTATGTGTAGTATGTTGCTTTTTTTTGAGACAGTCTCACTCTGTTGCCCAGAGTGTAGTGGTGCAATCTTGGCTCACTGCAACCTCCACCTCTCGGGTTCAAGCAATTCTTGTGCTTCAGCCTCTTGCGTAGCTGGGACTACAAGCATGCACCACCATGCCCAGCTATTTTATTTTTTTTCCTTTTTGTATTTTTTTAGTGGAGATGAGTTTCGCCATATTGGCCAGGCTGGTCTGGCTGCCTTGACTTCCCAAAGTTCTGGGATTACAGGTGTGAGCCACCACACCCAGACGTTAGATTACTTTTTAATTCCCTGTCTACCCACTTCTTGTAAGTTACATGAAAGCAGACACCTTGTGATGATCTATTACACCTTGTCTGATCTATTACTGTCTCTCCAGGGCCTAGGACAATGCCTGGCACACAGCAGGTGCCAGCAAGCCTTTGTTGGAAGAAAGGAAGGAGAGAAAACGGACCTCCTCTAGATTGGATCCTTGGCTCCTGTGTGCTGACGCGCAGCCTGTGACCGGGCTCTGCACTGCTCCTCTGGCTCCAGGGAATCCTCATGGAAAGGGCGGCCTCCCCAGAGGGCTGCCCAGGAATGAAATGGGCATCTGGGGAAGCCCACTCCTTTGGCTGCCTCTTGCCTTGGGTGCCCAGGGCTACCGTGCCACCTCCTTTGTGAAGCTGGTCCCTGGCCCTGCTTATCAGCCCTATGTCCCATTCCGTTGGCCCAGCAGAGGTAAAAGTGGCTAAGTGGGTTAACTGGGCCGGGTGTGGTGGCTCACACCTGTAATCCCAGCACTTCGGGAGGCCAAGGCGGGTGGATCGCCTGAGGTCGGGAGTTCGAGACCAGCCTGACCAACATGGAGAAACCCTGACTCTACTAAAAATACAAAATTAGCCGGGTGTGGTAGTACATTCCTGTAATCCCAGCTACTTGGGAGGCTGAGGTAGGAGGATCGCTTGAACCAGGGAGGCAGCGGTTGCAGTGAGCTGTCATTGCACTCCAGCCTGGATGAGAAGAGTGAAACTCCGTCTCAAACAAACAAACAAACAAACAAAAAAAACCAAAAAAAAGTGGCTTAACTGTCCTTGCTTTCATGGCCTCTCCATCCCTCTTGCCCCAGTGGTATTTGGCTGTTTTTGTCTGTCTTGTTTTTCCCAGACTGGACCAGCCTTGGGGTTAACCAGGGGCAGGGTGACAACTCACAGGCAATGGTGTCCCTCAGCCTCCTTCCCCCCACATTTCAGAGGCTGCAGGTGACTCACGGTCTTCGTCGGTGGCTCCGGAAGCCTTGCAGGTGCCCTGCCACTTGGCCGCTGTGCTGCTGGCTGCTCTGGCAGGTCCTGACGACTGCTTTCCTGTCCCCTCCCCTGAAGCTGGGAGATTGATTTTCTCCGAGTGATTAATTGGTCTATTTTAAGCTCATCAAAGTAGCCTCGTACTTTCAAGTTTCTCATGGAGCAGGCCCGGAAGATGATACCCACGGGCTTAAGGCTGCTCCCACTGCAGGATACGGGGTCAGGGGCTGTGTTTGTCAATTGTGAGGTCCCTCAGTGCAGTCCCCCTCCTGAGCTGGACAGGGCTTGGCTCCTGCATGCTGATTCTGCAGCCTGTGGCTCAGCTCTGCACTATTCTCTGGCTCCGGCAAATCCTCATGAAGATAAGCCCGGGAGCCCTAAGAGTTGCAGGTTAGCCTCCCACAGCCTTCCCTTGCATCATCCTTGCTCCTCTAGCCAGGGACACTCCTGCCTCCTCCCTGTCTCTGCTGGATCAACACCTGAGCATCTTCTGGCTCGATAATTCTGTCATGACCCCATATGCTTTCCCTGACCCTCACATCTGGGTTGAGGGCCCTCCTATGCCCTGTATCTAATCCTGGTTTTCGCTCTGTAAGCTGGCCAGAGATGGGCTTGGGCAGAGTAGTTTCAAAGGCTCTCCCCAAGTGTCTGTGCAGCTCCC